GCAGGATGCTTACATCTAAGGAATGGAAGTGAGCAGTACAGCAGCAACAATCCAAAAAAATTGTGTACACTACTATGAAACATACAATGTGAAAAATACAAACGGGAACCAAAAGAAGACCAACGACTCAGAGGGACTGAAACACAAACACAAAAATTCTGATATAAGCAGTAGTATTTATAAGATTGTGTATTGTTATACAAAAATATGCAAAAGAAGAAATCATTGTAAAATGCAGTGTCATGAAGCTTTTCCCCATTGTCATCTTCTAAATGTTTTACAGTTTTCGCTCGTAAGTATTTGATTCATTTTTAGTTAATTTTTGAATATGATCTAAGAGTCCAGCTTCATTTAGATATATGTGTACATCCAGTTTTTCCAGTACCATTGGTTGGAAAAAATTTTCTTTCCTCATTGAATGATCTTGGCATTCTTTATGAAAATCATTTGTCCCTATATGCAAGGATTTACTACTGGGCTTTCTATTCTGTTCTGTTAGTCTGTATGTCTGACTTTTTGCCAGTACCATACTGTTTTGATTAGTATAGCTTCATAGTAAGTTTGAAAATCACTAAGTGTGAGACTTTCAGGTTTGTTTTTCTTTTCCAATATTTTGGTTATTTGGAGTTTCTTGAAAAGGAATTTTGTTTTTTGGAAAAAAATGTTATTGGGATTTTGATATAGATGGCATTGTATCAATGCTTTGTGAATGTTGACACCTTAACAATATTGTGTTCCAACACATGAGCATGGTATGTCTTTCTATTTATTTGTGTATTCTTTAATTTATTTCAGCAATTTTTGGTAATTTATAGTATACAGTATTTCACCACCTTGGTTGAGTTTATGCCTAAATATTATTATTTGATGGTATTTTAAATGGTACTATTTTCCTAATTTCTTTTTTGGATTGTTCATTGTTAATATAGAGAAACAGAATTGATTTTTGTGTATCAATTTTGTAGCCTACTACTTTGCTGAATTTATGAGTTCTAACAGTTTTACCATCTCTCAGTGAAAATTTCAGATGCTTCCACCTCTTGGCCACTGTGAATAATGCTACAATTGACATGGGTGCATGGGTATGCAATACTTTAACTTAGAGATCCTACTTTCAATATTTTTGGAGATATACGCAAAAGTGAGATTAACTGATCACATGGTAATTCTATTTTTAATTTTTTGAGGAAGCTCTGTATTGTTTTTCATAGTAGCTTCACCATTTTACATTTCCACTAAGCATGATTTCAGTTTTTCCACATAGTGACCAATACATATTTTTTTTTAGTGTCTGTGCTAATGCTTGTGAGATAATACCTCATTGTAGCTTTGATTTGTTTTTCTTTTATGCTTAGTGAAATGGAACATCTTTTTTTATGCTTGGTCCTGAGCATGTCTTTATTTGGTCCTTTTAGATGTCTTTATTTCTCTGAGAGGCTCGCTCCTGCTGCTTCTCTGGGCCTTACAAGTTGTGGTATATTTTTCAGGAATCCCTTGCCTCACCTGTGGTCCCCTTTCTTGTCCCCTTGTGGTTTTCAGGAACTGTACCATCACAAACCAATCCCACAGGCACAGGACTCTCATACAGGCCAGAAGGTTGCAAATTTAGTTTGCTCTGTTCTCTCAGTTGTGTAGAACAAAACCTTCCAGAGATTGAGAAGCGGGTGGGATAGTGGTGAGTAAAAATGCCACAATTGTTAAAAATCATTTAAAACATGGCTTTTTTTGGATTCAGAACTTACTTAATTGCTGTAAATCTATGGCTGGTTTCCACAGGTCTTGTAAAGTTATTTCAGCCAGTCTCTAGTTTTTTATTTAATGTTTTCATGGGAGAACAGGGCCTGGAGCTTCCCAGTTCACCATCATACATCTCACTCTAAATGTATCACATTCTGGTGTCTGTTTGGATTTCCTGGATCTAATTTGAGTACTCCTTTGTAGACTCAACAAAAAAAAGCCATTAGTTGACCATTTGCATTTTCTCTTTGCTGCCTATTTTTGAATTAATTTTTCTGTCTTTCTAATTGATTTATATGACTTAATTATATATTCTGAAAAATATTCTTCTGTTGATTACATGGCTGCAATTTTTTTCCTGAATTTTATTCCTTGACTATTGCTAACAAAAGACCATGAGATCTGTGAAGGCCAAAAGGAGAGCTTATATTTTCTGAGAAGCAATGGATAGAAGTGGGAAAAGCAGGCTTTGGTATAAAAGAAGATGCACTGCAGAGAACAGAGACAGGGTTTGGCTTTCATAAAGTTCCCGCCCATGTTCCCAATCAGGTCTGTTTATGAAAAGGTGGAACTCAAACTTGTTCAGTTCCAGTTGGTTGATGTAGCCAAGCCCTGATTGGTTGAGGCAGCAGAGTGATTGGTTTGCCTTCAGGTCTGAGACCACAAATCCCTTCTCACTGAAGATTTTCAGATGGTCATTGGAATTTTCAGTCTTTGGTTTTAGGAGCTACTCCAGCTTGGAGTTGTACAGGCAAAAGATTTGTTGCCAAAGGCTGTATTTTCTTCAGAGAACAGAAAGTGCATGACCACTCACCGTTCTCCCACCTCACTATGGATGCCCGATTCTGTTTTTAAATTTAAAGCGTCTCTTCTAGCCACAGGGAGTCCCTCTTGCTTGGAGAGTTGGGCTCTTTCCACACTTTTATTTTACACTATTGTTACTTTTATGATTTTTAAAATTAATTTCTTAATTTTAATATTAAATGTTTTATGTTATGGTTAGTGCATTTTTTTTTTAAGAAATTATTTCCTATTCAAAGTTCATGACTTTTTTTGGTACATTATCATGTTTTTATGTCAATACTGATTAGTCACAAATCATTTTTTTCTCTTTATTTAAATAGTTGGCGAATTTTGTATTTTACATTTAAATAACATTTGAACATTTTTCCTCAGGTCTGCTTAACGGAGAAAAAATATTTTAGTATGTATACTTGGAAAGAATGATACACATAGGAACTATATGATGTTACCCATATGATATCATGAGGGTTTATTAATTCTAAGAATAGTAAATAGAATGTTATATTTATTTAAGCTTATATTTAGATGATTTTATGCCAGTGTCAGTTCTATTTTTGACAGTCAATATAAAGGATGTGTGTAAAGACTGCATGCAGATTTCTCTTCTGCATGCATAATGATTTAACACTTTTAGTAACTTTGCTCAGCATTTCCATATTTGTGCTCCAAGAAATGTTAATGTCTGTTTTGAGAGAAAATGTGCCACGATCAACATACTTTTGAAAAACATATCATTGAAAGCTTACTGTGCACATTACCAATTAAAATACTCTTATTATCACTGAAGCAAATAAATCTCCTTTGTTTAACCAAACTTTTTTCCATCTGAAACATTCTTCTTCTCCCAAATAAAACATCTATTAAACTTGAGGAACTCTTTGGAACATAGAATGGAAAATATTTCCTCTAAAAAAACCGGTAAAATATTTTCCAATTTGGAAAAATACATTTTAAAAGTAAATGATGTGAAATTAAATATTAGTTTATATCATTGAATTATGATGCCAGAAAAAGAATTTTCTTTGATGGCACATAATAAACATGTGCTAGTTGTGCTATTAACATATTCTGGGATCCTTGGGCAACCACATTTGCAATAGGAAAAAGAGGAATAGGATAATCAAAGACCCCAGCCCATTATGAGGCTTGATGGCACCACCTGCTATCCATGCCCTTACCCACAATAAAAGACTCTGGTAAAGAAGTGCGTAAAGTTAAGTATTTATTGAGTGCCTATGATACACTGGGTGATTTTTTATATGTCCTCTGATTTTTATACATTAATGTTACAAAATTTGTTGTTATTGTACCAGCTTTAAAAAATAAGGACAGTGGAACTAAGAGAGTTGACTGTTTTGCCTAAAATTCCAAAGATAATCTGTAACAGAGATGGTATCTGATCTTGGTTTCTTCCTACTCTGTCATGGAGTGGTAGATGTGGTAATCATGATTTCATTATCTTTATATTAGGAATGATCAAATAGGGCTTGAAATCAGATTTTTTTTATTGCATTTTAGGTTTTGGGGTACATGTGAAGAACATGCAAGATAGTTGCATAGGTACACACGTGGCAGTGTGATTTGCTGCCTTCCTCCTCTTCAGCTATATCTGGCATTTCTCCCCATGCTGTCTCTCCCCAGCTCCCCACCCCCCACTGTCCCTCCCCTATTCCCCTAACAGGTCCCAGGGTGTAGTCCTCACCCCTATTCCCCCAACAGGCTCCCCTCCCAGTGTCCTCATTGTTCAACACCCGCCTATGAGTGAGAACATGCGGTATTTCATTTTCTGTTCTTGTGTCAGTTTGCTGAGAATGAAATCAGGAGATTATTAGAAAAAAAAAATGCAGTCTTTTTCCACCTAAAATACAGTTACTATGGCTATGTGTGAAGCATATTTGGTTCCTCCTGTAATGTTGGCCTCTTGTGACTTCTGCTATATTAACTTAAAGCAGGGGTCCCTGACCACAGGCCAGGGAGCAGTACTAGTCCATGGCCTGTTAGGAAGCAGGCTGCACAACAGGAGGTGACTCGCAGGCAAGTCAGCATTCTGGCCTGAGCTATACTTCTTGTCAGATCAACAATGGCAGTAGATTCTCACAGGAGTGCAGACCCTATTGTCAACTCCACATGCATGTTAGGGATCCAGGTTGCACGCTCCTTCCAAGAATCTCAGAGGAAACAGTTAAAACTTTCTGTATATGATTCCACTTACATGAAGTATGTAGACTAGTGAAATTCATAGAAACTGAGGGTAGAATGGTGGTTGCCAACAGCTGGAGAAATGGGGAAATGGGTATAGGGTTGCAGTTTTGCCAGATGAAAAAGTTATAGAGATTTGTTGCACAACAATGTGAATATACTTAATATTACTGAACCGTATGCTTAAAAGAATTAAGATTGCAACTTCTATATTATGTGTAGTAGGAAAATATTCTTACTAACTTATTCTTTTTTCACAGTGATCTGCAGCCCTGGATCATATAACCCCCGTGATGGAATTCATTGCCTTCGATGCAATAGCAGTCTGGTGTATGGAGCAAAAGTATGCTCATAAGCCATTATCTTGAGTTATTCAGTGGTTTATTAAATGCAAAGTATATATTTGAAATATTAACATATAATAAATCATTATTATGCCAAAATTAAATATATCATATTTTACAGAAAATGGTGTCGTTATTTTAATCAAATACTGTATGTCCAAATGCCTTATGAAGGTAAAAATCCTCTAGTCTTTATTTATTAAGGCCAAACCTACATATGATTACAAAATATTTCTTGTGTCACTGCATTTTAAAAATAGTTTCAAATATACTGTATCAGGTTAGCCCAAAAGATATTTCAGAAATATTCTGTTTTACCTTTACTATATGTTCACTAGATCCAGGCCACCATATTCTTCTATAATAACTATAACTTCTATTTGTTTCATTCTTCTGATTTAAATTTATGAGATTTTATTCTAGTTTCACCTTTCACAGTTTAAAGCCATATTTAAAACCTGGGGTCTTACTGTAATTTTTAGCCTCTTTAATGTAAAGCCTAGTTCCAACTACACTGTGGATTTTCAATATAGTTCAATATATCCTAAACTTTTCAGTTTTAAGTCTCTTAAATTACCTTTTTGACATTTTAGAATGGAGTAATTATTTTATGTGCCTAAAGTAATAGTTGAACTTTCTCAATGGAAAGAGAGAAAGAAAGACTTTTCCTGACAACCCCTCTAGGAAAAATAATCAACAGTCATCACAAACTTTATTTCTTCCGCTATGAAAATGAATATTATGTGATGAATATTACTTGTACAATCACTAATACTTATCCTATCTCACATCAGGATGCTATATTTGAATATCAAATATTATAAAAAAATAAATATTTAAATTCTAGGAAACGAGTAATTTAGAATATGAGTAGTTTCTCAGTTTTACTAATTATTATTTTATTTATATTTGTGTCAGCTTTCTCTCTCAAGCATTCAGTGTTTTGCTCTTCATAATTTCTCTCTTAAGACATAAACATTTATTTTTTATTTTTATTTATTTTTTTAATTGCATTTTAGGTTTTGGGGTACATGTGAAGAACTTGCAAGATAGTTGCATAGACACACACCTGGCAGTGTGATTTGCTGCCTTCCTCCACTTCACCTATATCTGGCATTTCTCCCCATGCTATCTCTCCCCAGCTCCCCACCCCCCACTGCCCCTCCCCTATTCTCCCCAACAGACCCCAGTGTGTACTGCTCCCTTCCCTGTGTCTATGTGTCCTCATTGTTCAACACCCGCCTATGAGTGAGAACATGCGGTATTTCATTTTCTGTTCTTGTGTCAGTTTGCTGAGAATGATGTTCTTCAGGTTGATCCATGTCCCTACAAAGGACATGAATTCATCGTTTTTGATTCCTGCGTAATATTCCATGGTGTATATGTGCCACATTTTCCCTGTCCAGTCTATCGTTGATGGGCATTTGGGTTGGTTCCAGGTCTTTGCTATTGTAAACAGTGCTGCAGTGAACATTCGTGTGCATGTGTCCTTATAGTAGAATGATTTATAATCCTTTGGATATATACCCAGTATATAAATCCTTTGGATTTATAATTGCTGGGTCAAATGGAATTTCTATTTCTTGGTCCTTGAGGAACCGCCACATTGTCTTCCACAATGGTTGAACTAATTTACACTCCCACCAGCAGTGTAAAAGTGTTGCTATTTCACCACATCCTCTCCAGCATCTGTTGTCTCCAGATTTTTTAATGATCACCATTCTCACTGGCATGAGATGGTATCTCAGTGTAGTTTTGATTTGCATTTCTCTAATGACCAGTGATGATGAGCATTTTTTCATATGTTTGTTGGCCTCATGTATGTCTTCTTTTGTAAAGTGTCTGTTCATACCCTTTGCCCACTTTTGAATGGGCTTGTTTGTTTTTTTCTTGTAAATCTGTTTTAGTTCTTTGTAAATTCTGGATATCAGCCCTTTGTCAGATGGGTAAACTGCAAAACTTGTTTCCCATTCTGTTGGTTGCCAATTCACTCTAATGACTGTTTCTTTTGCCATGCTGAAGCTATGGAGATTGATTAGGTCCCATTTGTCTATTTTGGCTTTTGCTGCCAATGCTTTTGGTGTTTTGGTCATGAAGTTCTTGCCTATTCCTATGTCCTGAATGGTTTTGCCTAGATTTTCTTCTAGGGTTTTGATGGTGTTAGGTCTTATGTTTAAGTTTTTAATCCATCTGGAGTTAGTTTTGGTGTAAGGTGTCAGGAAGGGGTCCAGATTCTGCTTTCTGCACATAGCTAGCCAGTTTTCCCAACACCCTTTATTAAACAGGGAATCCTTTCCCCATTCCTTGTTTTAGTCATGTTTATCAAAGATTGTATGGTTGTAGATATGTTGTGTTGCCTCTGATGCCTCTGTTCTGTTCCATTGGTCTATATCTCTGTTTTGGTACCAGTACCATGCTGTTTTGATTACTGTAGTCTCTTAGTATAGTTTGAAGTCTGGTAGTGTGATGCCTCCCGCTGTGTTCTTTTTACTTAGAATTGACTTGGCTATGCGGGCTCTCTTTTGGTTCCCTATGAAGTTTGAGGTAGTTTTTTTCAGTTCTGTGAAGAAAGTCAATGGTAGCTTGATGGGGATAGTGTTGAATCTGTAAATTACTTTGGGCAGTATGGCCATTTTCACGATATTGATTCTTTCTAACCATGAACATGGAATGTTTCTCCCTCTGTTTATGTCCTCTCTTATCTCGTTGAGCAGTGGTTTGTAGTTCTCCTTGAAGTGGTCCTTTATGTTCCTTGTTAGTTGTATTCCTAGGTATTTTATTCTCTTTGTAGCAATTGTGAATGGCAGTTCGTTCTTGATTTGGCTCTCTTTAAGTCTGTTATTGGTGTGTAGGAATGCTTGTGATTTTTGCACATTGATTTTGTATCCTGAGACTTTGCTGAAGTTGCTTATCAGTTTCAGGAGATTTTGGGCTGAGAAGATGGGATCTTCTAGATATACAATCATGTCGTCTGCAAATAGAGACAATTTGGCTTCCTCCTTTCCTATTTGAATACTCTTTATTTCTTTCTCTTGCCTGATTGCTCTGGCTAGAAGTTCCAGTACTATATTGAATAGGAGTGGTGAGAGAGGGCATTCTTGTCTAGTGCCAGATTTCAAAGGGAATAATTCCAGTTTTTGCCCATTCAGTATGATATTGGCTGTTCGTTTGTCGTAAATAGCTTTTATTATTTTGAGATATGTTCCATCAATACCAAGTTTATTGATGGTATTTAGCATAAAGGGCTGTTGAATTTTGTCAAAAGCCTTCTCTGCATCAATTGAGATAATTATGTGGTTTATGCTTTTGGTTCTGTTTATGTGGTGAATTACATTTATAGACTTACATATGTTGAATCAGCCTTGTATCGCCGGGATGAATCCTACTTGATCATGGTGGATAAGCTTTTTGATGTGCTGTTGCAATCAGCTTGCCAGTATTTTATTGAAGATTTTTGCGTCTGTGTTCATCATGGATATTGGCCTGAAGTTTTCTTTTCTTGTTGAGTCTCTGTCGGGTTTTGGTATTAGAATGATGTTGGTCTCATAAAATGATTTGGGAAGGATTCCCTCTTTTGGGATTATTTGGAATAGTTTCAGGAGGTATACTAACAGTTTCTCTTTGTGTGTCTGGTAGAATTTGGCTGTGAACCCATCTGGACCTGGGCTTTTTTTGTGTGGTAGGCTCTTAATTGTTGCCTCAACTTCAGATCTTGTTATTGGTCTATTCATGATTTCAGCTTCTTCCTGGTTTAGGCTTGGGAGGATGTAAGTGTCCAGGAATTTATCCATTTCTTCTAGGTTTACTAGTTTATGTACATAGAGTTGTTTGTAATATTCTCTGATGATGGTTTGAATTTCTGTGGAATCTGTGGTGATTTCCCCTTTATCATTTTTTAATGCATCTATTTGGTTATTCTCTCACTCTTTTTTAATTAATCTGGCTTGTGGTCTGTCTATTTTATTGATCTTTTCGAAAAACCAGCTCCTGGATTTATTGATTTTTTTTTTGAAGGGTTTTTCGTGTCTCTATCTCCTTCAGTTCTGCTCTGATCTTAGTTATTTCTTGTCTTCTGCTAGGTTTTGAGTGTCTTTGATCTTGCTTCTCTAGCTCTTTCAATTTTGACAATGGGGTGTCAATTTTGGATCTCTCCACTCTTCTCATGTGGGCACTTACTGCTATATATTTTTCTCTAGAGACTGCTTTAAATGTGTCCCAGAGATTCTGGTATGTTGTGTCTTCGTTTTTGTTGGATTCAAAGAACTTCTTTCTTTCTTTCTTCATTTCATTGTTTATCCAGTCAACATTCAAGAGCCAGTTGTTCAGTTTCCATGAAGCTGTGTGGTTCTGAGTTAGTTTCTGAATTCTGAGTTCTAACTTGATTGCACTGTGGTCTGAAAGACTGTTTGTTATAATTTCCGTTCTTTTTCATTTGTTGAGGAGTGATTTACTTCCAATTATGTGGTCAGTTTTAGAGTAGGTGTGATGTGGTGCTGAGACGAATGTATATTCTGTGGATTTGGGGTAGAGAGTTCTGTAAATGTCTATCAGGTTTGCTTTGTTCCAGGTCTGAGTTCGAGTCCTGGATATCCTTGTTAATTTTCTGTCTGGTTGATCTGTCTAATATTGACAGTGGAGTGTTAAAGCCTCCCACTATTTTGTGTGGGAGTCTACATCTCTTTGTAAGTCATTAAGAACTTGCCTTATATATCTGGGTGCTCCTGTATTGGCTCTGTATATATTTAGGATTGTTAGCTCTTCTTGTTGTATCAATCGTTTTACCATTATATAATGCCCTTCTTTGTCTCTTTTGATCCTTGTTGGCTTTAAAGTCTATTTTGTCAGAGAGGAGAATTGCAACTCCTGCTTTCTTTTGCTCTCCATTTGCTTGGTAAATCTTCTTCCATCCCTTTATTTTGAGCCTTTGTGTATCCTTGCATGTGAGATGGGTTTCCTGGATACAGCACACCAATGGGTTTTGGCTTTTTATCCAGTTTGCCAGTCTGTGTCTTTTGATAGGTGTATTTAGCCCATTTATATTTAGGGTTAATATTGTTATGTGTGAATTTGATTCTGCCATTTTGATGCTAGCTGGCTGTTTTGCCCATTAGTTGATGCAGATTCTTCATTTTGTTGATGCTCTTTAGCATTTGGTATGTTTTTGAAGTGGCTGGTACTGGTTGTCTTTTTCTATGTGTAGTGCCTCTTTCAGGAGCTCTTGTAAAGTAGGCCTGGTGGTGACAAAATCTCTGAGTACTTGCTTGTTTGCAAAGGATTTTATTTTTCCTTCACTTATGAAGCTCAGTTTGGCTGGATATGAAATTCTGGGTTGAAAATCTTTTCTTTAAGGATGTTGAATATTGGCCCCCACTCTCTTCTGGCTTGTAGGGTTTCTGCCGAGAGATCTGCTGTGAGTCTGATGGGCTTCCCTTTGTGGGTAACCTGAACTTTCTCTCTGGCTGCCCTTAGCATTTTTTCCTTCATTTCAACCCTGGTGAATCTGACGATTATGTGCCTTGGGGTTTCTCTTTTTGAGGAATATCTTTTTGGTGTTCTCTGTATTTCCTGGACTTGAATATTGGCCTGCCTTGCTAGGATGTGGACATTTTTCTGGATAATATCCTGAAGAGTATTTTCCAGCTTGGATTCATTCTCTTCGTCACATTCAGGTACACCTATCAAACGTAGATTAGGTCTCTTCACATAGTCCCACATTTCTTGGAGATTTTGTTCATTCCTTTTTGTGCTTTTTTCTGTAATCTTGCCTTCTCGTTTTATTTCATTGAGTTGATCTTCGACCTCTGATATCCTTTCTTCTGCTTGGTCAATTTGGCTGTTGAAACTTGTGCATGCTTCATGAAGTTCTCATGTTGTGTTTTTCAGCTCCATCAATTCACTCATATTCCCCTCTAAGTTGTCCATTCTTGTTATCATTTCCTCAAATATTTTTTCAACATTCGTAGTTTTTTGCATTGAGTTAGAACATGTTCTTTTAGCTCACAGAAGTGTCTCATTACCCACCTTCTGAATTCTGATTCTGTCATTTCATCACACTCATTCTCCATCCAGCTTTGTTCACTTGCTGGTGAGGAGTTGTGATCCCTTGTAGGAGGAGAGGTGTTATGGTTTTAGGTGTTTTGCTCATTTTTGCGCTGGTTTCTTTTTATCTTTGTGGATTTATCCACCTGTCATCTGTGTAGTTGCTTATTTGCAGATTGTGTCACTGAGTGGACGTCTAGGTTGTTGATGGTGAAGTTATTACTGTTTTGTAGTTTGCCTTCTAACAGTCTGGTCCCTCTGCTGTAGGACTGCTGAGGTCCACTCCAGGCCCTGCTTGCCTGGGGATCACCTGCAGCAGCTGCAGAACAGTAAGGGTTGCTACCAGTTTCTTCTTCTGCTATCTTTGTCTCAGAATGATGCCCGCCAAATGTCAGTCTGGTCAGTCTTTTGTGAGGTGACTCTGGATATACAGGGGTCAGGGAGCTGCTTGAGGAGACAGTCTGTTCTTTATAGGAGCTCAAGAATTGAGCTGTGAGCTCCGTTGTTCTTTCAGAGCTGCTAGGCAGGTACATTTAGGTCTGCTGCAGCAGAACTCATAAACTGCCTTTTTTTCCCCAGGTACTCTGTTCCAGGGAGTTACGGCCTTATTTATGAGTGTCCGTTGTGCTGCTGCCTTTTTTTTTTTTTTCCAGGGCTGCCCTGCCCAGCAAGGAGGCAGCCTAGTCACTGTCTGCCTGCAGAGGCTTTGCTGAGCTCCGCCCTGCTGCCATTGAGCATCCCTGTAGTCCTGTTTATATGGGTGTGGTTAGAACTGCCTTGGCAATGGTGGCCCGCCTCTGTAATGGTGGACTCTCTCTGTTATGGTGGGTTGCTTTGGGAACAGCAAGCTGCCTCAGCAATGGCGGACTACCTCCGTAGAAGTGGAGTGCCTCGGTAATGGTGGTGCTCCCTCCCCCACCGAGCTGTACCATCCTGGGTTCAGCTGTTTGCCATGAAACTCTCAACCCCAAGCGTTTCCAATTGCTGGGGTTTTTTTGTTTGTTTTTGTGGGGGTGGGACCCCCCCCCACCCTGAGCCTGATCACCTGGCTCCCTGCCTCAGAGACTTTTTTTTTTTTTAAGTTGAACTTTTGACTCTCTCTTAGGTGTTCCAGTCGCCTGCTGAAAGGGTGCTGGGATCTGTATGATTTCCCATGCAGCGACCCACTGCACTGGCAGAAACAACGGCGCTGCCCGGGAATCTTCTGGCCAGCTTAAAAAGGCAATCAGACCTGTGTATTTTGTATGGAGAGCCGCCATGCTGTGGAGCCAGCAAAACAGTCATGCCAGCTAAAACAACTGTGCTGGCCAAGACAGCCGTGCTGGCAACCTGTAGGGCTCCTCTGCCTAGGAATCTCCTGGTCTGTGGGCAATAAAGGTCCATCTGGAAATGCGGCATCCACTCACCCTCTGCGCTTTCACTGGGAGCTGCAATCCTGAGCTGCTCCTAAAAGGGCCATCTTGGATCTTCTCAAGACATAAACATTTATAAATGGCAGACATACCCCATGTTGGATCTGGGCACAAATGTGCAATACATTGACAGGAAGACAGTTCACCTATACCTAGGATATATTAGGCTTTTAAACATGAACTAGTTAGTTGATAAATTAGCTTCTTATTTTTCCATCCTATATACAGTTATAACTCTAGAATTCTCACACAGACACAAAGGGAAGATAAATGACATGTGGCTGGACTGTGTTATTAGCCCTGGTAATGTTTTTCTTGAAAAATTCCTTGGGTTTTCATCATCATGTTGTAATTGTTTTTATGTGGTTTAGAGATGTGTTCAAGTGCCTTCTTTCTTCAAATGACATATACACATTACACCATTTGGGTGAGTTACTTTTCTTCCCAAAGTTACTAACACATGTATTTTGTAAATAGTAAAAGACCTACTACACCCCCACCTCTAAAAGCAGTGTAATCTACTAAAGTTTCAATGTTTCTTAATTGTATAATATATTAGAATACATATTCTTTCCTTTTTGTTTTTATGTTTGCTTACTTTTTACCTATATTTAAAATCTCTAATAATTGGACATACAATGCATTTTTCTGAGGCATGAACAGCATCCCATCAACAGCCTGGGAAAGCAGAGGCAGAGTTGTTATACCAGTGATAAGTACTGGGGATCAGAATGCAATCATGAAAAGATAGGTGACCCCAGATAAGAGGAGATGAACAACAGGAGTGGGATGAGAGCAAATTCATGCATTTTTAGCTATTGGCAGACCAGAATGAGACTACACAAATATCTGAAGGCAGAACAAGGTAAGACTTTTAAAGTCCAGGCAAAGAAAACAAACTAATTGAAGTAAAGGATAAAATAGGAGAAGGAAGGGAAGCATTAATTACTTATTTTTCTTGGGTTCCATAGTAAAATATTCTTTGCTCTATTATATTGCTTATCACATTTATTTTAGTTGATTACGTTTGTCTTCCACATTCAGTTATACTAGAATACTTCTAGCTTCAGGGCCTTCTTTGTAGCACACAGTTATATACTTAAAAATTTTTTAAATTAATGAATAGATCATTAAAGTTCTTCGAGTATAAATACTTTAGTAATTAAGACAAGTTGCTTCTATGTTGAAAGTTAAAGTGATGACAGTGTGTACAACAAAAATTGTAAACTAATCCCTGAGAGATTATTTTCATAAGGCAGTTTCAAGTGTTTTTTATTTGCTTGCATCAAAATAATATCTTACATTTATATCATGCTTCAATTTTCACAAAACATTTTTAGTTATTATACAATCTGATAATTATACCAGCCTGTGAAGTTAATAGAGCAAATATAATTCCCAATTTTTATTTTTTTTTAATTTGTTTTTTAAAATTATAACTATGTAAGATCTGTTTATTTGGCAATATGGTAAAAGAGCCTTAACAAGTGTGGTTCAGTAATCTCAATGGAAATTTTACTACAGAAGTAAATCAAAAACAAAGTGAAATATTACATCCAATGGTATTAATTTCTGTATTATATATAATAATAAAAAGGAAAATAATATAAATGACTTACAAAATAATTGGTTGAATAAATTATGCTGTTTCCATTTGATAGAATATTATTGTACCATTAAAATCACATTTACAAATTAATTAAGATTACATACACGTGTACAATTGTTATCTGTGTTGTGTACATTTTTAAACAAAATGCACCAAAATGTTAACAAAGGTTGTTTCATGTAATGGGATCATGTGTGAGGTTTTTTTTTAATGCCCTGTGTTTTCCAGATTTTCTGCAGTGAAATGAATTATATTCACAATCTTGAAAGCAATAAATGTACTTTAAAAAGTTAAAATAGGAGCCAAGTAGAGAAGACATTGCTTATCTCTCCAACATCAATTCACTTCTCCCCTTCCTAATGGAGCACCAAGTTTCTTTACTCCAGAGAACGACTCTTTTAGCCAGTCAACGCATAGCTTTTCTGGCCATTGCCTTGTGACCATGAGTTGAACCAGCTTGAGGGTGAAGCCCACAGTGAGGATACACAGTGAAGATATAAAAAGAACTGGAGCATTCATGATGGTGTTGAATTACTAGTCCTTATTATACCTGAACCCCAACCTGTCCTAGACTTCTTAGTTCAGTCAAATAGGAAAGTTTCTTTTTTTTAAGCAAGTTGGGTTTTCTGTTACTTGTAGCTAAAAATATTCTAAATGCTACAGTATTAATTACAGGAAATTTGTAGAGGATTCGAAATAAAGGGAAAATACCACTTATAGTTTCATAACCTGAATGTCTGCTGACATTTTGGTAAATTTCCTACTTTTGTGTGAACTTTTTTTCATGCTATAGGTACCATATGTAGTGAGTATTTTTCTTAATATTATGATAGATATATTTCCATACTATTTTTTAACCTCTTTAACATAATTCTGATGACTATAATATTCATACATTTCAGCAGAAAAACTAGAATAAGGTTTGTCTGTGCCCACTGTTCATAAAGACATGCCCAAGACTGGATAATTTATAAAGGAAAGAGTTTTCATTGACTCATAGTTCCACATGGCTGTGGAAGTCTCACCCAATCATGGTGGAAGGTGAACGAGGAGAAGAGTCATGTCTTACATGGTGCCAGGCAAGAGGGGATGTGCAGGGGAACTCCCGTTTATATAACCATCATATCTTGTGAGGCTTACTCACTGCCAGGAGAACAGTATGAGGGAAACTGCCTCCATGATTCAGTTATCTCCACCTGGCCCTGCCTTTGATATGTGGGGATTATTACAATTCAAGGTGAGATTTGGGTGGGGACACAGACAAACCATATCATTGCACCTCTCACCCCTCCCAAATCTCTTGTCCTCACATTTCAAAAGCAATCATGCCTTCCCAGCAGTCCCCCAAAGTCTTAATTCATTTCAGCATTAACTCAAAAGTCCACAGACCAAAGTCTCATCTGAGACAAGTCCCTTCTGCCTATGAGCCTGTAAAATCAAAAGCAAGTTAATCACTTCCTAGATACAATATGGCTACAATCATAGGGTAAATACACACATTCCTAATGGGAGAAATTGGCCAAAAAGAAGGGGGCTACAGGCCCCTTCCAAAACCCAGCAGTGCAGCAAAATCTTAAAGCTCTGAAATGATCTCCTTTGACTCCATGTCTCACATCAAGGTCATGCTGATTCGAAATGGGTTCCTACAGGCTTGGGCGGCTCCACCCTTGTGACTTTGCAGGATACAGCTCCCCTTCTGGCTGCTTTCACAGGCTGGCATTCTGTGGCTTTTCTAGGCACACAGTGCAAGCTGTTGGTGGATCTCCCAATTTTTGGGTTGGGAGGACGGTGGCCCTCTTCTCACAGCTCCACTAGGCAGTGCCCCAGTGGGGACTCTGTCTAGAGGCTCCCAGCCCACATTTCCCTTTCACACTGCTTTAGCAGAGGTTTTCCATGAGAAATCCACCCCTGCTGCACACCTCTGCCTGGACATCCAGGTATTCCCATACGTTCTCTGAAATCTAGCAGAGGTTCCCAAACCTCAATTCTTGACCTCTGTGTACCTCCAAGCCCAACACTGCATATAAACTGTCAAGGCTTGGGGCTTCTTCTGTCTGAAGCAATGACCTGAGCTGTATATTGGCCCCTTTTAGCCACAGCTGGAGCTGAAACAGCTGGGATGTGCAGGACACCATGGCCTTGGGCCACACAGAACAAGGGGGTCCAGGCCTTGCCCACAAAACCATTTTTTTCCTTCTAGGCCTCCAAACTTGTGATAGGAGAGGCTGCTGTGCATGTCTCTGACATGCCCTGAAGACATTTCCCCATTTTCTTGGTGAGTAACATTTGGCTCCTCATTACTTATGCAAATTTCTACAGCTAGCTTGAATTTCTCCCCAGAAAATGGGTTTTTCTTTTCTATCCCATTGTCACTGCAAATTTTCTGAACTTTTATGCTCTGCTTCCTCTTGAGCACTTTTCCACTTAGAATTTTCTTCTGATGGGTACCCTAAATCATCTCTCTCAAGTTCAGAGTTCCACAGATTTCTAGGGTGGGCAAAATGCCACCAGTCTCTTTGCATAGCAACAGTGACTTTTACTCCCATTTCCAACAAGCTCCTCATCTCCATCTGAGACTACCTCAACCTGGACATCATTCTCCGTATCGCTATCGGAATTTTGGGAAAAACTGTTCAATAAGTCTCTAGAAATTTCCAAACTTACCTACATTTTCCTGTCTTATGAGCCCTCCAAACTGTTGTAACCTCTGCCTGTTACCCAGTTTCAGAGTTGCTTCCACATTTTTAGGTATCTTCAGCAATGCCCCACTTGCAATACCAATTTACTGTATTAGTAATTTCTCACACTGCTAATAAACACATACCCTAGACTATTATAAAGGAAACAGGTTTAATCGACTCTCAGTTCCACATGGTGCAGAAGCCCTCACAATCATGGCAGAAAGCAAATGAAGAGCAAAGTCACATCTTACATGGTGGCAGGCAAGAGAGCATGTGCAGTGGAGCTCCCCTTTATAAACCATCAGATCTTGTGAGACTTATTCATGATCAAGAGAACAGCACAGAAAAACCTTGCCCCCATGATTCAGTTACCTCCCACAGGGTCCCACCCACGACATGTGGGGATTATTACATTTCAAGGTGAGGTTTGGGTGGGACACAGAGCCAAACCAAATCATATGGTTTAAGCCTTGCTAATTGTTGGACATTTTTATTGCTTTCAAATTTTCACTATTATGTGTTGCGTTACAGTTGACATCTTCTTAACTTAAAATTTTGTGATATTTTAAAGTTGTTTTTTTATGCGAAATACCCAGAAGTAGAATTGCTAGATTTAGGTATTTCTAATCTTCTGGACCATTTGCCAAGTGTATTTTCTATAGATTATGCCAATTTCCAGTACAACCAATGATATATCAGAATATGTATTTTATTGCATGTTTTCCAGTATCGATTTTAAGTCATTCATGTAATGTGATATATGGAAATAGTTTCTTCCTCTATTTTCGTTTTTTTGAGTACTAGTGAGGTTTAACTTCTCTGATGTAATAATGTTGCTGTTGCTGGTGGTAGTTATTTATTGAGTGTTTATTATATGAAAGATATTGTTTGAAACCTACTACATAGATTTTCATATTTAATTTGCCTAAGTTTGTGAGTTATTGTTACTCTAATTAGTACATGAGGAAAATGAGTCACAATAATTTAATACCTTCACAGGTTTAATAGCTGGTAAGTGGTGAAGATGTGTCAGTTACAATTTGGTTTTGTGGCAAGATCCTGAGGGCCCTGATTCAATGGTTCCCTATAGGTCGTTCAGTGGCTCTCCAGCACCTCTTGACCTCGGACCACTTGTACCCTTTCCCCCCCAACCACCACAATCCTTAGTGCAGCTTTTGTCCTCAAGGTTGCAGATGCCCTTATGCCTCCAGGCTCTTAATTGGCCTTCCATTCAGAAAAAAATACAAAAATGAAAAACCTTCTACAGGACTTTTACATTACATTGAATGGAAGTGTCACAGGGTCACCTGATACTATAAGGGAGATGAGAAATTGATAGCTTCATTTTTTTATTCTCATTAATAGAGAAAAGTATTTAAAAGGAGACAAGGACTTTGAATGAGTGTTGAACAGGCCAGTGTCTTTTTCTTACACAAATCATCCTTTTCACTTGTGTGCATTGATACACACCCTTCACATTGGTAACATATACATGTAATGTCCGCATTCTTCTCCCCATGTAATACAACTTCAAACTCTCACCCAGTTACTGCATCTAACTGATGCGTGTTGAGTCATGGATGATATGGAGAAGTTTGCATCAGGTCCAGGGCCCATATGGTCTAGACAGTTTATCTGCCTCTACCTCATAAAATGTGTGAGAAAGTAGAAAGTAACTGATTTAAAACTCCCATGCAGAAAATGGAGGAAAGTCAAATATATCTCAGTACTTATCCAGGTGGACAAGATACAGTGAGACCTTCCTGCTATCAACTTTGTTTAAGTTTTTTGTTTGGTCCCTGGTTCTATCCTGTGTAGTTGTCTTCTTTATTCCTTGCATTCCCCCTTCTGGAAGCTAAACCGTGTTTCAGTTTACTCTCTTTGAGAAGTCAGAGGTCCAAGACACAGGGTGTCATTGGCCGCATTTGGATTTTTCTTGGGCAGAACAGGTCTCTTTTGGTGGGTTGTGTTGTGTTGTGTTGTATCATCCTGGTCAAGCATGGTGACAAAGGATGCAGAGATGCCTCAAGGCCCCAGCTTGTGCTTGCTCTCCTTTGTTCTGCATCCAGGTCATCTTCCTGTGATCCGGGGCATGTTCATATCCTTCCATGGTTATGGACACATTTATGTGGCTTCTTTAGTCAACGAAGAGACTCAATGCCTAGAATGTGGAGGACCCTCTTGATTTGGGAGTCAACATTTATTTCCACTGGGCATGGTCCTCCTGCTCATTTCTTAAGTCACTGGAAAGCCTGACAATTTTGAATGGGGCTCAGAGTAGAAACTGGCTCTGCAACCATTCCAGGCCACTGTGAAAGGTGCTCTCCACTTGGAAAATGCAACACATCAGTACAAGCATGCTCAGAGTGTCATGGCAGATAAAGGTGTCGTGTGAACTCTTGGACAGGATACTAGAGGTGAGGATCATAGTGTGAACCTTTGGGATGTTAGAGAAGGCCATGCTATTCTCTGTAGATAACTATTCTCCTTTTGAGAAGCAGTTTTTGGATTGGTGCTGGTTCCAGTTTGGGCCAACAAGTTACTATGTAATCTGAGCTACATCATGAGAGAGGTGTTGTCTAAACCACTGAGACAAGGAGTTGGGTAAGCATAGCAGCACTCTTTTATCCACTGGGAATGGTGTAACAGTGTGTACAAGATTTGGCTCAAGCAGGTCCTGAGGAAGTGGTAAGTTGAACAAACAAGTGGCTCAAACCTTCATGGTTTCTGCTCTTGCCACCCCCATTTCAGCCTGCCCCTATGACCTCATGGGGAGTTCTTTATGATATCTGAGCCTCATTTATAGATTGGTGTACACAGTCTGTTGGCAGCAGCCACAAGTAGACAGCCCTACCCACAGGGCTGGTCCCGAAGGAGAGTGGGGAAGAGAAATATCAATAGATCAGGCTCAGAGCAGTACACCAGTCTGTCCACCTTGTTGAGAATGAGAGATGACTAGAGGTATGGACCTGCACAGATTCTTAAGCAATAAGTCAACAATGTGGCCCAGAGGCATAGAAGGAATAAGATTGGAAATTCGGTGACAGTGTTGTAAGAAAAGTGTATGTAACTAGATATGTCCAAACAAGCACACAGCATGTAGGAATGCACACTAATGAGAAACTCAGCAAATAACCTTAGGAACCCAGTGGACAACATGACTCTTTCTGTAGGCATTGGTCAACCTCTTTCTTCTTTGCCAAAAGGTCATGAACAAAGTGGCCGTGAAAATAAAGATGGAAGGTCCGCATGGTTACCAAGGCATAATCTAGCTACAGCTCTTCTGAGTGCCCAGTTTTCCAACAGCAGAGTCCACCAAGGAGCCCCCAGTATGGCAGCACTGACCAGGGAGACAGCCAGCCAACTGGTACCAGCTTGATTACATTGGATCAAGTTCATCATGAGAGGGGCAATGCTCTGTCCATATTGAAATTTGATATAGATTTGCTTTCCCTGACTACAGTATTTCTGCCAAAACCACCATCTGTAGTCTTACTAAATAAATATATTGCTGTTGTATTCCTCACAGCAGTACTACTAACCAGGGAACTCATAATCAATGACGTGTGGCAGTGGGCTCATATAATTCATTGGTTGTACCATGTTCTCCATTACCTTGTAGCATCTGGAGTAGTAGAATGGTGTAATGGGCTGCTGAGGATGCTTATGATGGCAGTTGCGTGACATCATTTAGTTGAGCTACTGTAATCTCTTCTGGGTGTGATTTTTGCTCTGAATCAGCAACGAATAGCAATTTGCCAAATCACCCTCATTGGTTCTATGGTCAATGCTGTTTTTCTAAATATTGTAAGGAGGGCATAGTGGAAAGCCCTAGAACTGTCCCTTCTGATACGACTGTAATATATGGTGCTATTGCTTCCATGATTAAGAGCCATGGGTCTCAGAGTTACGTATGGGTTGGAGGGGTGGTGATGGGAATAAATTCTCACTACTACCCTGGATATCTACTAGCAAAACATTTGCTTCCTGTGTCTGTCATTTTGGACTCTGCTATTTTGGAAGTCATACTTCTCAAGGGAGGAATGCTTCCAATAAACTGTAAGCCAGGACTGCCACGTCATGTTGTTGAACCAGCTGGCACAAAAGAGGTTGCTGTACTGGCTGGAGTGGTTGATCCTAACCATCAAGGGGAAATTGGGTTCCCATTACACAGCAGAGATAGGGAGATGCTCTGTGGCATATCTGAGTACTTCTTTGTCCTGTGGTAAAAGTTAATTGAAGATTATAACACCTAGTATAGGTGGGGCTGGTAATGGCCCGGAATGAAGGTGTGGCAGCTATCAAAATGTGGCTCTCTGACCTTCTGCTATAAGGAGTCACCGACCGATGGCTCCACTGCTGCACTCTGATTCCACCCTGTTTGCGCTGCATCCATGCCTCTAGACTGAGCATAGCAGAGGCCTTCTGTCAGCCTTTCCTGGCTATGCGAGAATTTCCTGTGGCAGCCATGGCTGGAGGGCCACTCCTTCGCAGCCAGTTGCTGCTCAAAGCTAACTGCAGTCTAAGGCCTTCCTCACAGGTTCAGACCTGCATTGTTATCCAGGGGATATCCCAGCCTCTTCTCTCTTCCTTCCCTTTTCCTCTCACAGACATTTTAAACTATAATATATCTCTTACACATCTAATCCTATTTTTTTTAGTTTCTCAGCGGATTCAAACTAGCCCAAGTGATGCCAGGAGATTCTGGCCTTAGAATATAGGCAGTGGAATGGGGCTCTGGGACTCATTCATTGCCCACTCCCTGTGAGTGGCCTGTGTCTATAGGTGTGATGGGTTAGGTCTAAGAAGGGGATAAGGGTGCCAGCAAGGACAGCAGAGGTGGCAGACTACTGTTAAATGAAACTGATGCTTTGAAAAGGAATGAGAAACTGAGGGATTGAACAAGATTGATGGCTTTGGGCAAACTTACTGCTAGAAAAAGTGATAGAAATGCCTAAGCTGCAGGTGGCAGAAGAAAGAATAGAGAAGCCGATAGAATTGGGAATGCTGGAGCTCATAAACTCTATGAGGTCAGAAAAAACCAACAGAGCGTTATGCCCCACAAGACGACTCAAGGACACCATTCATGGCACCATCAGGGGCACACTTGTCTAAGCACTACCAGCATCACTAAACACCTAATTGGTGGGTTTTCTCTATTGGCCAGGATTGATGGAAGAAGAGGTAGACATAGTAATGCAAGAACTAGAGGCAGATGGAATGCTTAGCTATGGAGCACCAAGTGACTACACACCCAGAACTGCCCATTATGTGGAGTCCACTGACCCAACAGCAGTCCATTCACAACTGAGTCCAAGCGGGTCCAGAGGTCCCAAGTAAGCTACATTTGCTGACAGACCAAACTCCCAAATCACCCACAACAATCGTACCATTTCCCTTCCCCAAGCTCACATGAGGAAAAATTGCAAGCTTGATTGCTGGGTTCTGTCAGTAGGTGAAGCCAAAATTTGACAGTGACTGCCCTGTTTTAGGGGAGATCCAAAAAACAGTGGAGAGGGGAGAATATGTTTAATGCTTAGACAGCAGCCAACGATGTGGCTGCAGCCAGGGACCTGGGAGGAAAGATGGAAAGACTGGAGGCTAGGAGGTCTGAGGCAGAGGCCTGTGGATGGACACATGGACATGAGTGCAAAGTGTGAAGACTTCAATTGCATTAGTTAAGACTCAGCAGAAAACACATACCTTAAAAGAGACACTGAACAACCAAGTAGGTAATTTTTCCAGGTAATTGGCATTGATCATCTTTCATCATCATCAGCTCTGCCAGAACCCCACCAGACACATGAAGGGAGTGGCCAAGATAGAGCAATGGAGTGATATATGCACCCAATAGCATGGATAGCTGCTTTCCTAGGCTTATGTAGCTACTACCACCTCTGAATGTCTAACCTATCTGGAAAAGAGGCCCAGACTGGGTCCCAATACAGCACTGTTCCCCAGGGACACCAGTCATCCACTCAGAAGCAAATTAGTGCCATCTGGCCAGTCTAATGGTTCATCTTTACAGGGATGCATATGTACTCATTGAGTGTGTACATACTGTATCTGTATGTGTGTTCATGTATATATACATATGTGTGTGTATGTACACACATATACATACACATATATGTATGTGTATATATTTGTGTATGTATACATATATGTGCATATACATATATACACACACACATATACATATATATACGTATCACTGCCATCCAGGGGCTAATAGAAGGGCTGATGCCCACGCTTGGAATCCTACACAAAAGAACATATGAACAGCATTTACACCACTTCTCAGCACAGGAGGTGCAGAAATGGACTAGGCGCCACCAAACAGGAAGACAGGAGTGCTGCCTGCTTTTATGCCTGGAGGGTGGGTGAGAGACCAGCTCCTGGTGGGCCCATTCAAATCAGAGGTACGTAGTTGTTTACCTGGAGTAAAGTGCAAACAGCCAGAAGGGTTTTTTGCTGTCAGGTCATGCTTTTCCTGTGCTTTGGCTTCTCTTGGAGCATTTATGGTCTGTTCCTGTTGGTGGATCTGGAATTTATGGGAGGCAATAGAGAAACCATGGAACAGACTTGGGTGTCGTTCCTCAAATCCTGAAGTCCTTGGGCAGCCATCCCCTTCTTTCCAACTTCCAGAGATTTTTATGCTTTTTTGTCCAGGGTTTTTAGTAGTAAGAGGGAGAACCTGGGAGAAATGGGGCTAATCTACCTTGACAGAACCAGAAGTCTCCCGTAATATAATTTTATCTTAAGACTTTAAAATATCTAGTGACAGTCCCTTCTCCATTCTATTGTGACTTCTCCTTTGACCTTGGCCTCTTCAGTAGCTGGGACCACAGGTGTGTACCACCTCACCCATTTTGTTTCTTAATTTGCAACATATGGAGACATTTTATTTATTAATAGATTTTCTTATTGAGTTATAGTTTAATTGAATTGTCAGGATTTATAATTCACGGGATGTCAGTGCTTTATAATGAAACTTTATACCTCAGAGTAAAGTCGTTTATAAATTTTCCACATGCTTGTATTTTGTAACATTTTAATGAAGAATTATGCACCTATTTACTAGATCAGCTTTGTTAATTTTATTGTTCAGGTATTTATATCTTTTATGGTCATTTTGTCTTCTGTTTATTCCACTACTACATATAACAAATTACCATAAGAATTATGGTATGTCTCCTTGCCTTATCAAGATCTAGTGCTTTTACCATTTTATAACCTTATTCTTTTTTTTTTTTTGAGACGAAGTCTCACTCTGTTGCCCAGGCTGGAGTGCAATGGCACGATCTCAGCTTACTGCAACCTCTGCTTCTCAGTTTCAAGCAATTCTTCCGCCTCAGCCTCCCATGTAGCTGGGATTACAAGCACCTGCCATCATGCCCAGCTAATTTTTGTATTTTTTTTATAGACAGCGTTTCACCACATTGACGAGGCTGGTCTTTAACTCCTGACATCAGGTGATCTGCTCCCCTCAGCCTCCCAAAGTGCTGGAATTACAGGTGTGAGCCACCGTGCCCAGCCTATAACCTTATTCTTTAAAAATGTGGTTGAAATAAAGATATTTTAATGAAATGAAAGCAGAAAAAATTAACACCAGTAGAAATTCACAAAAAGAAATATCAAAGAGTATTCTTCAGGCAGAAGAAAAAGGATTTGCAATAAAAGGTGAAGAAAGCAATAAAAACTAAGAAATTATCCAAGATATGGCTAAATGAATAATGACTTAAATTAGAAGAAGAAGTTTTCAGATTTAAAACACACAGAATTAAGATATATCGAAACAGTAAATATGACGAGGGAATAGTTAATGCATTGTCTGTAAACATGATAAAGGCATCAATAAGTATTAGATCTTAGTAAGTCACAGCTGTATACTATATGGGGCACTAATTATATGTGTGGAACTCTAAATTGGCAGTTCTTTTCATTCAGCATATTAAAGACGTTTAACTGCCTTCAGAATTCCTTTCTTGTCCAAAGATAAGAATATTAAACATGCATCAAACATTCACAGTTGTCAGAATTCTTTTTTACATGGAATCTGTCTGTTTCCTCTGGCTGCCTTTATGATTGTCATTTTTAATTCCTTTCACTTCACTGTAGTGCTGCTACTTGGGAATTCTTTGTTTTATTGTCTGTCATCAACTTTAGAAGGCCATCAGCCATTTTCTTTCTAATTATTGTTTTCCTGCTACATCCTATCCTTTTTCACCTTTTGGAACTTCAACTTAATATTTGCTGCATTGTTTACCTCTTATGCATCTTCTATCTGTACTTCTTTTCATTTGATCTGTCTTTAGAGTCACTCTTCTCTCTTAAGCTGTTTCTAATCTGTTAAATCCAGTCAACTAAGTTTTTAATTTCAGTTGTTACATTTTGCAGTTGTTGTTGTTGTTGTCGTTGCTAGGTCAGTTTAGGTTTCTAATCCTCTGCTGAAATTTCCAATTTTGTTCTAAGGTCTTTGAATATAGATTTATTTTATATCTGGGTCTGATTATTCTATCATTAGGAAACTGTGATTCTGAACCTATTGTTTCTGCTCTATTTATTTATGTGGTCTCAGATCAGCTGTGCACCTTGGATGCAGCCCTCTGGGGCCACAAACACATATGGGGACGTTACCTGCTTTTGTGTACTCAGACTCTAAATATTGCTCCATTTTTTCCATAAATGTCAAAAAGTGCTATTCAGCTTCTCAGCATGCTATTCCAACAGGAAGTGTACTCAGGGAAAAATGCTCAGAATGCCAGACTAAACTCATTTGGGCTTTTCCAGCTGTTGGTCTGGTAGGTTTTCCTAAGTATTTAGTTCTCCAGTGGCTTCAGGAAGAACTGTCTGTTCTGTCCAGCTTTTCCAGTTGCCCTTTGTATGTAGGAGGATTGTTCTGAATTGCCTAATCTTCCAGTTCAGCAACGGGAAGCCTTAAGAAAAAATAATTTTTGTTTTATTTTTTAAAAAGCCTTTCTCCCAGCCAGCGCAGAGGAGCCTCTAGAATGTTTTCATTAAAAAAAAAAAAAATCTGGGGCCGGGCGCGGTGGCTCATGCCTATAATCCCAGCACTTTGGGAGGCCGAGGCGGGTGGATCACGAGGTCAAGAGATCGAGACCATCCTGGTCAACAAGGTGAAACCCCGTCTCTACTAAAAATACAAAAATTAGCTGGGCATTGTGGTGCACGCCTGTAGTCCCAGCTACTCAGGAGGCTGAGGCAGGAGAATTGCTTGAACCCAGAAGGTGGAGGTTGCAGTGAGCCGAGATCGTGCCATTGCACTCCAGTCTGGGTAACAACAGCGAAACTCCGTCTCAAAAAAAAAAAAAAAAAAATCTGAATCTAAGATATTTACTTACTGTTAGTTCATATTTCTAGATATGTGGTTTCATAATCATTACATTTACTTTTAGAAATGACAAAGTAGAAATGTATTATCACAGTCAATAACATGGGATATTATTAGATGCTACTTCAGTGTACAGCAATGTTCATCTTTCATTTAAATAAGAGAAATCAAAGTTATATATTTGAATGAGGCTCAAGGACTATGTTTTAAATAACTCAAAATATTTAAAACATTTTGAATATTTTTTAATGATATACATACATTTTATTTATCTTGCTTAATCTACTTTCAAAAGTTGAAATATTTCAAAGGATCATCTTAAATGTGACTCTACCTGGAAGTGCAAAACCCAGTTTAATAAATACTTTATTTTATAAATCAGTTCAATACACATACCCATCCAACAATACATACAAATTAGGCCTAATTATTTAAATTCAGCTCCACATAAAATTAAGGTATTACAAAACATTTTTCTGGTAAATATATATATAAATGGGATAAAAACTAATATATAAATTATATATGTTAAATTTAAGCATATGAGGATAGAATATTTTTCCAAATGAGAACTGAATTATTCATTTATTAGAATCTTCAAAATGTTTTGATTTCAATAGTCTCATATTTCCAATGTATTATGTTATAAACACTTTGAATAGACCTGTGCTTTATAAATATTTATCTATTCTAGGCTACATGTTTTACAAATATTCACTCATTTCATCCTTAGTGGTTGATACCACTCTCCTCATGTTACCGATGAGCAATCTGAGTTACAGAGAGGTAGGTAACGTGTACCTGATAAATAACCAGTAAGTGGTAGAACTGGGATTAGAATCAGACCTCCAAAGGCCAAAGTCTTTACTGGCAAGTTACATTAAAGCAAATAAATTGCAAACATTTATTGAGAATACTTATGATATAAAAGTTAAAGGATGCTCTGGCCTTTGTTTCTAGAGACTGTGTTTCTATACCTATGGAGTGAGGCTCAGGCCAGGGATGGGAACAACTCACCTATGCCATTTAACTCTTATCATCTCTGCTGGAAACCAGACCCATCCTCCAGCCAGCATGTTCTCACCCTTGATTCCTGAAAGCATCATGGGCATTCCCTTTTGATCAGTTTGCTCTCCTCTTTTCCCCTCACTTGAGTTCCCTTTGGTATCTTCAACACTAAGCACAGTGTTCTCCATCTGTCAGATGCAGGAAAAGTGGTAACTGACAATTTATTAATGGTTACAGTTGTTATGTAAAATTGATGTTTAATAAATTTGTACAGGACATGAACACTTACTGGAAAACTTTCACCTAATAATTTATAAAGACACAACATTGTTCTTGGTCTATAGAAACTGTCTGAAATTTGTAAGTGTAATAAGTACAGCACGTTAGTACATTTTTCTTACAACAGTCTATTAAAATGAAGACAAAAAGCTATAATTTTACATTCATTGGGTACCTTGTAAAGCATCACACAGATTTGGTAAATGATATTATTTAAAATGACTTTTTTTAAGTTTTCAAATACTGAGTTTATGGAAGAAGTATTTGAAATTATTTTTAAAATTAATTCCAATTATAAATAGTCAATAACACAATTAAATACATATGTGTATATGTATGTGTATTATTCATGCTATATTTATAGCTATATGCAAATAGTTGTGGACTTTACATAGCTGTACTGACCTAGACAAATGAGAATAACAAACTCAGCCAAGCAGTCTCTCCCCATTCCCCTACACTCTTCACTGCTTAGCTCCAACTTTCTGTGATTATCTGACTTAAAAGGAATTTCTGGCCAACAATGCATTGCTTCTCTTGTCTTTTGTTTGCTTTGTTTTCTTTTAATCAGACCCTTGCTTATATTTATATCTATCTTTCCTCGCAGGGAATTGAGAGAGTAACTGTGTAACTGTTTGTATAGATGCATGTGCAGAAAAATGAGCTGCCAGCTGGAAAATTTACATAATCCTGAGGAATAAATTTAAAGGAAAATTATCTCATCCAAATACCATTTTCATTATTTTCCTTTTTTTCTTCAGAAAGAGATTCATCGTGTATTAAATTTTTTGAGTTTTTAAGTCATAGTTCTTAATATTTTAAATGTTTCAGGCAAACCTCAGTTTCACTCTATCCTAAATTTCAACATTTCCATTTTGCTTCCATATCTAAATTGCTGTCTCTTTTTACTTTCCCTCCTGGTCATTATATAACATGATTTGTCCTCTGAAGTGTAAGTATGCTGTTTATTGTACTAAAAAAAAATCCATTATGTTTATTTTAAAGACATTTACTTTCTTAGCTTCAATAGAGGGCACATGTTGAATCTCACTTCAGTGTTGCTATTTGTAACAGACATTTTTTAATGTATCAATTGGCCATAATTAATCTACAACCTACAAAACGATATATAGAACATAATGATTTTGTATCAAGCTCCTTTATTGCACTCATGCCAATCTTAAAATGAAAATCTTTCCCTTGAGAGAAAATAGGGTGGGGCTGGGAGCAGTGGATAGACCCGGCGACTGGTGGCTGAGCCCCCTGGGGTCACCCCTGTCTACCCACGACCTTCACCACTGCTGTTATTGTTTGGAGTGGGAACAATCTTTGTTTTTAAGAAATAGCATACACTTTGAAACTACAGTTTAACATTATGTAACATGGGTAGATCACTTTTTTAATTAATCTATATTAAATTAAACTGAGGTTTGTGAGGATGAAATATAAAATATGTATACAGGGTATATTAGAGAATATAACTAGCTGGAGCAGGCACTTAGTTTTTTTATGTCATTAGAACATACAATAGTAACCATAATTTTATCACTAGCTACTATGAATCAGGAAACAGCAAAACTTTGCTTAAAAGTATAAGTCATGATACTGATGTAAGTTAATTAATGTGAAAGTTCAATATGGCATGTGATGCTATCACTTTTTTTATTGGTGTAAGGATATTTGCTGGTATACTTGACTCAGAGCTTCGTGGGCCCAAAGACCATGTATGGCTTTATCACCCAGGCCTAAACTGCATTTGACATGTAGAATGCAATCAATAAATAGATTAAGACTCATTGCTGCTCTCCAGGGAAGAATATTTGGAAGCAGGTAGAGGTATTCATTCCACTCCTAACTCTGCCCCACGCAGGACAGCTTTGGAACCAGACAGATTTGGCCTAATTTCCATCACTGAATTTTTTTTTTTTTTTTTGAGACATTGTCACACTCTGTCAATCAGGCCAGAGTGCAGTGGCGCAATCTCCACTCATGCAACCTCCACCTCCTGGGTTTAAGGGATTCTCCTGCCTCAGCCTCCCAAGTAATCAAGATTACAGGCATGTGCCACCATGCCCAGATAATTTTTTTTGTATTTTTAGTAGAGATGGGGTTTTACCATGTTGATCAGCCTGGCCTCGAACCCCTGACTTCAAATGATCTGCCTGCCTTGGCCTTCCAAAGGGCTGGGATTACAGGATTGAACCACCATGCCTGGCCCATCACTGAAATTTGGGTAAGTTACCCACCATATGTTGACTTCCTCATCAATACAGCAGGGTTGATAAAACGAAGAAATCAGATAAAATAATTTGAAATTTGAAATAGCAGTGTTTGTCATGTAATCATCATCTAATTAATAGCAATTTACTTCTCTTGGCTCCAGAAAAATTTGGTCACAATATTTGGTTATATTTTGTAAATTTCAATGTGACAATCATATCTAAACAACCTGATGCTTGACTACTATTTTAAAAAAGAGTAGATTTAGGAATCAAAATATAGAATAAGCATTTAAACTAGGGAGGTCACAACATTTTTGTGAGGAGCTAGTATTTTTTACTTTGACAAGTATCACCATTAGCATTCTAGAATTAGGGATCTATATTCTAGAATTATCTTATTTATGGGGAGTGGGGTGAAAGACCATTTTGGAAATTTCTGTCTAATTTCTAGAGGTTCCTGGCTTAAATGCAAATGATAAGACTTCAAATCATGAGCTCTGGTATAAAGCAGATTTGGACTCTTAATTCAACCCCTCACTCACTAGACTGAATCTTAAGGCAGTTTTTAAATTTCCCTGAGCCTGTATTTACTTTCTACAGCAAAGGTGATAGCATTGCCCACTATTTGGGAGAATTGTGAGGTTAAATGTGATAATAAGTGAAGGAAATGTAGCATAACTTTTGGCCAATGACATACATTCATTGATTGCTTAAGAATGGCTTTTTAAAACTATGAAACTACTTGGTAATATAAAGAACATTAATAGTTTCATAGGTTTACATTACTTACTGGATACTTGTCACCTTTTTCCATTATAATTATAAGAATTATATGCTTAGAAAAAGAATAAACCCTGAAATCTAATAGAAATAAAAATAGAATTGTATTTATTTGACAATGCAAATATAAAAGTAAAGGGAATGGAAAAATGAAGTCTTTCCATAAAATGTGTTTGGAAACAGTTCTTTTTAAAACATAAATTACAGAAATTCAAATAATAGAAAATAATCATTAAGTAAAATAATGATCATTAAATATTAATCATATAAATACACTTTAATGTATGCATTGATCTTAATACAATTAGATACTAAATAAAATTGAGAACTATGTCTACTTACTGAAAATTGAATTAAAAACTAAAGTAGCAATATTTGCAATTGTTTTTAGTCATCAGACTGTATTCATAATATACTAAGTTGACTTCAGGTATATACTTTGATTGCTTTTGATAATTCTATGCCTATATAATAGGCCAGTCAGAGGCTTTATACACTTTTCTGAACTTTAAAGGAAGGAGTTAAACAGTATGCATGTCTTAAATCTTAAACTACTCATGGGACAAGCACTGAGAGCACATTTTCATTTAAGTTTCCTAATTCCATTGAAACTTTGGCTGAGTACTTTTCAGGGTGATTGTCAGCGTCACTTAATAGTCAATGAAATTAATTCATTTAAAAATTAGGCATTGTATTTAGTTTCTAAATTTGTGTGTTAAGGCTAGAATAGCAGGTGCTTTGCAAATTTAGAGTGAAATTTAACACTGTAATAAAATATAGAAAACTGTCACTTTTAAATAGTTATCATTCAGGTTATGGAAGCTACTACATTTCTGTACAAATGACTCAGCTTATTATTTTGTCAGCTCACTAGATACCTATTGAGGTGTTTAATAATGTTATATAGAAAGATTAAACATGCAGAAATATTCAATACCACAAATAAAAGTCTAAGAAAATTGTTTTTCAAAAATTAGAAATAAGTAAATAAATGTCAAAACTGTAAACTTGACTTCCTTTATCGTAAGAGCCAATGTGTCTTCAATACAAGAAACTTTCCTCAGCATCAGAAATTTCACGCCAAAGGTAATTTTTTTCCTGACTTACATCAGAAATGGCCAACAGCTGTCAGACTTCATCCTAAAACCACCATGGGGTATTTGGGGTATTTGGTGTGTCTCAGGGTATTTGACTTAGATATTTGATACTTACTTGCAAGTTAACAGAGAAATCAAAAGACAATGGGGATGGCAAACAGTAATGGGAGCTTTTAGTTGCTCTTTAATATATACATGGTCCTTAAAGAAGAATAGTAAATAACTCTGAACTAATAGATTGAATATAACTCAACAAGCCTTTAACATAAAGATATAGGGGTGGTTTTCAGGATTGAATGCCTCACAGTCTGAATTAAAGGGATTTGTAAATAATAGAAGAAGCAAGCATAAAATTAACTATTATTCAAAATATATGATTTCTAAATTATATGTTAAAATAAGAAACAAAATTAACACTATTACTGGGACATAGAGTGACAATTCATCCAATAAGAACTGCAGACGCCTTACCAGCAATGGCTGGTATCTCAACATGCTGCAGAGGACAGGGACAGGGATAGTACAGGCCATGTTCAGAGTACAGTGTGCAGTACCCAGGGCCCAGAGGTCTCACCAGCCACAGGGGCCTGGGTCCTGGTGTGGTCCATGATCTAATTGTGAAGACACTAGTCTTCCATGCTGAGAAGTTTGGATGTTATTTTGTGTGTGATTGCAATCCTCAAAATAAAGAATTCAGTTGAAAACTAGATCTACATTTAGAAAACTAAAATAGTAGACTGAAGAGGTTAGTTTGGAGTGAGGATATAGTATAGTAGGCTGTTTAATCTGTGCTGTGGAGCAATGAGAACCTGAGCTTTTGAGGTGGCAGCTGGAATGTGAAAAATATGTACTGTAAAAATGCCCTTATTCCTGGATAAGTAAATTGCTCTCTCTCAATCTAATTCTTCATAATAGTTACCAATTGTATCAACCATCCACAGAGGCTACTAGAGAGGAAAAGAAATAGAGTAGGTAAGTAGGTTCAGTAAGAAAGTTACAAATTATGTTGGTCAAAGAAGCCTGTATGTTTTTATCAATGGTGCTTATTTGCACATCTGATACTTCTCTTATTACATTGTGTTGGGGAAAAATATGATATTAAAAAGAATAATGAAAAGTAGGATTGATCTCTTGCCCATTGAAGTAAATTTAGCAAATTGTTAATATTTTTTAAATCATAGTTTTATGTCTATAATTTTGTTTATATGTTTAAATAGTCCACACTTAATGTAGTTTCCAACAATGCTTGTTTGACATAGTGCATATTTTATAAGTTTCAGATGTGTACATTTATAAACCCATTTCACTGCTTAAAATATATATTAAAAATTTGAATTTTCTGATTTGTTAGGACTTTTTAGCCTTGTATAAATGTAACATTTATGTCGGAGAAGTAGAGAGGAGAATTTTATTAGACATACTAATGATGTTACAAATTTAAAACTGTATGAGAATTCTTCTCAGCATGTTTTACTGCACAAAGCAGATGATGAAATTCTAAGTATCAAAAGATTAAAAGTAATATAATCAAATGTAAATTAGTTTCAAGGCTTACAGACCCCTTGATGTCAAGGATACTGTGACTCTCCATCTGCACTAGCTGTTATAGCAGGGCTTGCCCAGGCTCAAGTGTATCTAATGCTTGTTGGATGCAGGGATGAAATACAAGTTTTTGAACTGCCTTTACTCAAGACTTCTGGGAAATGTCAATAAAAAGCATTGTTAATCCACCTAACAAGTAAGTATCCTATGACTGAAGGAATGAATTTAAATTGAAAACCTCTTAAGACATCAGATAATTTCCAGAACCATTGTATTGTTTACATGAGTAGCTTTATACTTTTAGATCTAAATATAGGTTGAAAATTTTGAAATAAATTCATTAATACACTTGTAAGCACGCTTCATTTTATTAACTTGAATAAATCATTTAACAATTATTAGGTACTTATAGAGCAGACCTATTTGAATTTTAATGATTATGGCTTTTCCAGAACTTCCATACTTGAATTCTGAGGCCCCCTTTTCTGTGCTATCTCCAAACCATATTATTTTGAAATCGAGTAACTTACACTTTCCTCTTTTTATTGGGCACTTATTGAAGTTATCATGTTTATTTACTAGAACAGTTTTGTTGTTGATAATCTCAGCAAAGCGTTCTCCTGACAACAGAGGACAGGGAAATAGAATGTCTGAGATAGCTGTACAGTTGTGAGAGTCTAACTGCAGGAAGTTGGTCTTGGACAAAAATGAAAATAATGCCATTATTATTAATGAGTATGTGCAGTGTCATCAATGCAAGTTCTTCCATGGGTTTGGTTTACGTAGTATTTCTATGAGGAAAGAGAAATGAAGGGGTGAAATCAGAGATGAAGAGGGAGTTACTCTGGTGTCGTAACAGCCACTGAGCTTCAGCTCTCAGGAGTATGTGCCTATGACCGTGCAGGTCACACTGAGTTTAGAGCAAGTGAGTCAGTTAATTTCCCAAGATCATATTATATTCATTCTCTCTATATGCAACAAAATACCAGGTTTTCTGAAATTCTCACAGCATTGAAAATACCACTGCAATGATTTCAGAGCTCATCATCCATTCTGGTAGGAATTAAGGGAAACAGGAAGTCTTTGAGCCACATGGACTGAGGAGTCTTTAATTGCATCATGCAAATTAAAGAGTAAAGAGGTTACTAATGGCCACCTACCCATGGGGGCTAGGATCATTTGTTAGCAAAATGACAACTTTAAATAACTGTCTCTAACAGTCCATCCTTGAATAAAGGAGGCATGGCCAATGTCTAGCAGTCTTTAATAATAAAGGTTACATTTTGGAAAGCTGATTACAGCTGAGAGCAGTTAGCTAATAATTCCCCTGAGTAGTTTCATGAAGTCTATGTACTGGTTGTCCCTTTGGCTCCAGATGTTCTTTATGAACAAGATAAAAATTCAATGATTATATGTAAATGTTTTGATGACTCAGTCAGAGAAATCTTTATATTTACTAAGTTTCATACAGTTTAATTTTTCAATTATGATAGATGTAACTATTTTTCTCAAATATTATTCAGTCTTTAATGATTGAATTTTTTATATAATAATTTTTTTCACATTCTCTATCTTCTCTTTAGGAAGGCTCTCTAATCTCCATTTTCTGGTCTCTTAGTTTGGCTCCTAACACAATACGTTATAATTACCTATACTTCTTATGCCAGAGACCAAAAATCCAAGAAGGCAAGAAATCAAGCCTTATTCCCTTGTTGCCATCACAAGTGCTTTCCACTTAATAGGTTCTTAATGCAAAATTTTAGAATAAACAAAAATATGGAAAATCCCTTTAAAGGCTTCAAGTAATGAATACGTGTATTTTAATCCTTCAGAGACATGAATAGTGATGATAGTGTTGCTTTTTTTATCCTACACCTATTAAGACTCCAGTTACCTCTTTCACAACGCACCCTATGTTGAATGATTGCTAAAGATACAACTATTTTCTAATATGCATTGATTAGGTTAGCAGGATTTGGCAGTGGCTTTAGATGTTCTCTGTCCAAGTGAAGAGAAAAGAAGTTGGTTTGGAATGATATCATAACTATAGGAAAGTTGTGCAGTACACTTCAGATTTGTTTTAACAGAAGAACTCCTTTCTCACTCTGCATGTGAAGGGTGGCTTATTCAACATTATCAGTCAGGATTTTACTGTGTACTTTATGGAGGATAGATGACTCATTCTGATGACCAATATGATTCCAATGAACTGAGAGCTGAGATATCTGTAGGACATTTAGGTTTCAAGTATGTAAATTTGTTCAGGAGTTCGATTTTCCTTGACTCTCCTGGGAGAATCAAAGGACTCCTCCCCTATTTTGTTGCCTGCTTCAGCTTGATGGAACAGTAATGCAAATTTTCCAGCCTACTATATTCCTCAATTTAGAGAATGAATTAAAATTATATTTAGAAGAGAAAGTAATGTAAATAAGAATGAAATACATATGTGTTTACCTATGGTCTACAATACGGAGCTTAGGGGAAAGAACTGAGAAAGTGTAAGTTAGTGATCTTCACACCTGCATTTCACAAATGACTGAGAATGAAGCAGATAAAAGCAGTATATTATTGTAAGAAGGAAGGACATATATTTATGTGAAATAGACTAAATTTTCTGAGGCTCAACATTAGATATATGTCTGTAATTAAATAGAATTTAAACAGGGTTTCAGTGGAAATTGATCTAATATCTTATGATCCATTCATGGGTGATTCTGCCCTGTGAAAATGTGCAGGGGGAACATACATTCCCGGGCGATAGAATCAGAACTGAAAAAGATAGGCAGGTACACAGTGAGGACGGTTGACAACACAGCATTTTTTAATCTGTATCTATAGAAAACACTTATATAAGCTCTCTAATGGAGGGATTATAGAAATACATTTAATATATAATAGTGTACTTTTGTGTACTTACTGTGAAAATAGCCCATTTATTTAGAGAGGGATTTTATGCCCAAAGTTCGCGTTGATGTTTTGAAATATATCCGTTTCCTTCTGTTGTAGTAACTGCTATCAAGAAAAGCAAAAGGACCCACAATTTTCCATTATTCCTCATTAAAAGTCTTCTCTCCTTTGATCGATATCTAGAATGTTCTCGTCAGTAAAATGTTCTAGAAAAAGTCAGAGTCTGTGTTCTGGGAAGGGTCTACATTTGCCTGCATTCATGTCTTGTGCACATGGCCTGCCGCTCGATTCTCCATGTGCCTTCCTCGTAAGTACAGTGGCATATGGTGCACTCGTCAGTCTTCACTTCTCTGCCAGCAGGGATGACAGTGGTTTCTGCAAAGCAGTTTGGACCTGAAATGCAGAAAAATGTTTTATACTATATGTGCACATAAATATATAATGTATATAATTAGGTATTAAGCATTACAATAAATACATATAAATATATATGTGTATATATATTTTTGTTTGTTTGCTTGCTTTTCAGATGGAATCTCGCTCTATTACCCAGGATGGAGTGCAGTGGCACCATCTTGGCTCACTGCAACCTCTGCCTTCCGTGTTCAGGCAATTCTCTTGCCTCAGACTCTCAAGCAGCTAGGATTACAGGTGTGTGACACGACGCCCAGCTAATTTTTGTATTTTTAGTAAAGACAGCGTTTTACAATGTTGGCCAGGCTGGGCCTGAACTCCTGACCTCAAGTGATCCACCTCCTTGGCCTCCCAAAGTGCTAGGATTATAGGCATGAACCACTGCACCCAGCCAACAGTACATCTTTTATTCATTTCCTTTATGAAGGACAGTGGCAAAATTATAATTTTGGTAATATGAAATACTTTTTTTTCTGAAATGAAACTAATGTCATTTAAAATTTTCATAAGAGACAACACTGTGACTCTTAACTATTCCATTTTGAAGCTAAAATCTGCAACCATTTGATTTAATGAATTCTAAATAATCACAGAAAACGTATAGCTAACTGGGACCTTCAAAGAAATAGTCTTCTTCAGGACACTTTAGGCAGAGATACCCTAAAACAAGCAAAGTGACATAAATACAGTGTACCATCCTGGCCTCCTGGAGCAGGTTTTCAGACTTTCCCATACATTACAATGGCCTGGAGGGCCGCTGAAAACAGTGGTTGCAGGTCCCACCCCCAGAGTTTGGTTTGGGATGGGGCCTGAGAATTTGCCTTGATAAATTCTCAGGTGATGTGGATGCTGCTTGTTTGGGGACACACTTTGAGAAGCACCATCTTAGTGTGTTGCAGGAGTATATCTTCCACAGTCTTCCATGAGAATTGAGGATCTCTGTAATTCTCAGTCACTACTACATCAGCTATAACAAATCAGCCAACAAAGCTGTCATGTCTGTACTTTATGTTAAGATCAAGGACATGGAGAGATGAGTATCAGAAAGAATTCCAATGTTAGTTAAAACACAATTTTTTAAAAAACATAATGGCTTTCTGTTATGGCTCATGCCTGTACACCTCATTCAGCTATGAGCAACTACTCTGCCTCTACACCTCCCTTTAAAATTCAAACACCATTAATTACTGCATCCTAAATAAAGACCCTCAACTTTTATCTTCAACAGTTTGCAAAATTCTTATTCTCCCCCTTCTTTGCTTCTAATGTCTTTGATAATGTGCTCACAACCAAAATGTGTTTAATTATAATGTGTGAAGTCATCAAAGAGATGAAAAAGGTCCATCTGCAAAATTTTTAAAAATAAATTAATCCAGCAAACTCCAGGATAACAGCCGGCCTTTGAATAATTCTAAGCACAATAACTCATGCTCTGCGGTGGTGCTTTTCAAGTTCACCGAGGAGGTGGAGGGCCCCCATTTCTGGAGGCCAAGCTCGGCACATGGCTCCCTGTTTGCATGTACCCGCTTCTCCCTCCCTGAACTCTGTTTTCTTTTTTGTTTTGTGTTTCAGACAGGGTCTTGCTCTGTCACCCAGGTTGGAGTGCGGTGGCATGATTGTGGCTCACTGCAGCCACTTTAACCTCCTGGGCTCAAGGGACCCTCCCACCTTAGGCTCCCGAGCAGCTCTGGTCACAGGAGCACAGCACCACATCTGGATAACTTAAAAAAATTTTTTTTGTAGAGATGAGGTCTTTCTATGTTTCCCAGGCTGGTCTCAAACTCCTGGGCTCAAGCGATCCTCCCCCCTTGGCCTTCCCAAAGTGCTGGGATTACAGGAATGAGTTGCCACGCCTAGCCCTGAACTTTCTTTTCTTCTTGTCCCCTAAGATTCTGCCCCTGAACTCTTCTCTTCTCTTTCAGAGAACCCAAAGCTTTAACAATCATTCGTTTGGCAATGACTCCCAAATTATAGTTCCAATTGTACTTTCTCACTTGAGCTCCAGTCCTGTGATTCCAGCGGGCCAGTATCTGCATTGCTTAAAGACAACCAATTTATGATGTCTGGGCCCAGTGTCTCTCCTGTCTGCCATCCAAGGAGCAGTATTTATGTTTAAGACACACAGGAATTAGCTTTGGTGAATATTAAGACTTTAAATTCAAGAGCCCTCCCCACCCAGTGGCCCCAAAAGGATCTTCTAGTCCTCCCTGCACTCCACCCCACCCCACACAACTGGCTTCCACACTTGACTGCTGTCTCCCTTGCTCTGCAATGAATTTTCCTTAGTCCATAAGGCGAACAGTGCCACAGTGACCATTAGGATTGAGCTTATGTTGTAAAAATTTCCCTAATTGGCCACATTTGGCTCGAGCTCTCTTTGGCATGCCATTTTTTTCTGTATCATCCTTTTTTGCAGAGGTAAATTTGAAGATACACTCTGCTTCTGTTTCATCCTAATATCTGTCAGTCAGTGTGCTTTGCACAGAGAAGCCACACCATAATTGCCCAGAAGACCTGTATCTTTAGATACAGATAATGACAGGTCTCATCTCCAGACAAATCTGGATTAAAAATCTGGTACTTAATAGTGATGTGATCTTGGAATAATTAAATTAATTATTGTGTGCCTTAATGGGAATAATTATACCTCAAAGGGCCTCATGAGGGCTAACCTGGATAATACATTTCACCTATCCTGTTGTTCTACAAATGCTAGCCAAAGCCTTTACCTGAATTAATCTTTCTATGTCAGGGCAATAGTCTGTAATGAGTTTTTTTTTATCATTCTAAGTTTAACTCTTCATTTTGTATTTTACTGTAGAATATAAAACCTTTATTTTTCAGTGTTTGGCAACATATTGAAGTCTTTATTCTTTTTGATGTTCAAATTGTCCAGAATTTGGCTAATGGGAGGCCTGGACTTCAAGCTAGTTCTGATGTCTTCTTGGCATACTCCTTTAATCATTAAAAGCTTCTTTCATTTCTGAACTAAGAAGATAGCCTCAGCTCAGCCTGCCCATATCTGTAATGAGCCTTCTCTCTTCCTTTTGGTGGAGAATAGATATAGAATAAAGATCTGGCCATCACATAGTATACTGAGGGGGCACTTGTAGGCCTTCTCAGTGGGCACAGATAGGAACACATACAAACACAAATACACACACACTTTAAAAAAATATAAAGTTATAGTATTATAATTCAAAAACTTTCTTCTTAGATTTGTGTATGTGTAGCTTTTCTCATTTTTTATTTGCTTGTCTTATTGTATTTAGATTTTAATTATATATCTAATTTTACACTAAGAGTAGAAACCAAAAATAAAATTCTAAGTCCTTCAACCAATTGAATGGACTCCTCCTTGTGGACAAGGGCATTCTAAAGTTAACTTGAAAAGCTAGCTCAGGCCACGATGGGACAAAGGCCTTGAACATGCCTCATAACCTCCTCCCTTTGGAATTCAGGCATAGCTGACCAGCTTTACCATTATAATAGGGATCTTAAAACTGACAAAACAGAATTTTTGTAGCAATGAGACACCAAATTCCAACCTGATGCTAGTGTTGGCATCACATGACAGACAGTGGGCCCTGAAGAAATAGATGTATTTTATTCCAAAATATATTTCTTTGACATATTTTGAAATGGCCCTGCAAAGCTGTCTCTTGTTGGGAAAATCTGCATTCTGTAGAATCCCCTTCCCTTTCCAAGTCTTTCCCTCATCCAAGAGAGAATTAATGATGAGTCTGGCACCTTTATAGGTCTGATAAGAGCTCTGAAGCCTGCTACCTGGATGTTTCATCTGCATGATAAAACTGTGGTCTCCACCACCCCTTATCTTAACCCAGACATTCCTCTCTATTGATTCCAGGTCTTTATTTAATAGCTCTTTTAAGCAACTGTCAATCAGAACATCTTTGAATATACCTACAACCAGAAAGCAGCCCCCATCTCCACCCTCAGTTTTGAGTTGTCCTGCCTTTCAGGAAAAAACCAACATATACATTACGTGTATTGATTGATGTCTTACGTCTCTGTAAAATGTATAAAGCCAACTTGTGCCCCAATCACCTTGGACACACATTCTCAGGCTCTCCTGGGACTGTGTCATGGGCCATGGTCATTCATATTTGGCTCAGAATAAATCTCTGCTAATATTTTACAGAGTTTGACTTTTTTTGTTGATGGACTCTTGTTTATTAAAATCCGGAATATATATCCTATGTTTATCCTACTTCTGTAAAGTAATTTAAAAATTGCAATATAAATGTCATTCCTAGTAATTATGTATATAATTATATATATGTATATAGGACATGCCTCATTATAACCTCCTCCCTTTGGAATTCAGTCATAGCTGACCAGCTTTACCATTAAAATAGAGACCTTAAAGCTGACAAAACAGAATTTTTATAGCAATAAGACACCAAATTCCACCTGACTCTAGAATTGGAATCACATGAAAGACAGCAGGTACATATATATTATGGACATACATATATAATATATATTGTACTTTGTATAGTCAGCATATTTTGCTCAAAATTCACTTGTCTCTTCTCTGTGTGGTTATATTACCACTGGCATACAGAGTTAGGTCCATCTGTTCCCATTTTTCTTCTCCACTTCATTTCTGTTCTGTTACCTCCCACCTCCAGCCATTCTGTCCATCATATTCAGTGATTTCTAATTTATTTTTCTAGTGTAACATTTTAAGAATAAGCAAATTATTTCCTCATTTTTCTTTCACAAAAGAAAACATACTTCTTAATGCTATGTACTTTGCTTTTTTTCACCTAAAAACATGTCCTAGCTTATCACTCCTCATCAGTACACAGACTCAGTCCTTGTTCCTTGCGGGCCCCATTGTGTGCCTTCACCATTGTTTATTCAGCACGGAGTCTATTGATAGGCCATTTGAAATGGGTCCCCCTGCATTTAGGAAACATATAAATGCCTAGCACATTCTTTAAATCTGCTTC